CCGTTTCAGAGAGCTGAGTTCTGGAAATAAAAGGATTTGGTTTGTAAATAAGCTATAAAGTTGTTCTCAGCGTCGCAGGCGCGATAAAGGTTAAAGGGTTTGACAACGTGTGGGTTAAAGAGGCTTTTTGCTCAGATGGCCGGTCTAAAGCTTTTCTCTAGAACCGTTGAGCTGTTCGAGCTGAGGGAGAAACCAGAGGGACTAGTTTTAATGGACTGATGTTACGGGTTGGCTAACCAACCACAAGTTGACAAGTGTGAGGATAATACCGAGCATCTCAGAGTCACACCCTCTTCGATCTGGAGTCTCTGAATCTGGGCTAAAGGTTAACTATGTACCATGTGTTAGCTCATGTGCATGAGTGCAAATGGTGATGACCTCATCCAATAAACATGCTAAGCATATGTCATTAAGCACGGATCAACGAACATTTCATTGTTTTATAGTTATAAAATCTTCTTTCATCTGGGAATGAAGGAGTTCATTTAAAAGAGTTCCTCTGTGAAGGACCTTGGAGGAGAGAATGCTATTGTTGATCTTTTATTGTCTCAGAGCTGCAGTCCAGTTGGTGTGAGGAAGGCAGGCTCTGATTAAAGGGACTACGTGCAGACTTCCAGTCTCCTGTGAGGGGAAAATATTGTAGGTTGTGTCATAGCCAGGTTAAGTTGACCTGGCTGTAGATCTTGACCTGTGGGATCTCAAAATCAGGCCATTTCATGACGTTACATTGTCTTTAAGTCATTTTATTTGTCAGCCACAAAGTTAAAGACCTCCTCGTAGAGCCACCTTCAGTGGCGTTTATCAAGCAGCACACTCTGGAGATGGAAACACCAACAATCCAACTGTGGTCACTGTGGATATGCTGTCTCCCTACACAGTGATCCCCACAGAGACTCGGGTACTGGGTCCTTCCTGGCCGTTTTATCCGTTTCCATCCAGTGGTTCAAAAGGTAATGTTAGAATGAACACACACAGGCTAAAACTTCCACTTCTGTTGTTGGGTAGTCGGAGATGTGGAAGAATCTCAGAACGCCCATCAGGACTCTGCTGTTGAGCAGACATGTTGACACGGTGCTACTTTGAGTGTTGAACCTAATATAGAACAGTTTCCTGGTAGCAAAGTGTCTCCGTAGCAACAAGTATAGAAAAGTGACAGAGGTGGACTGAGAACACCCACCCAGATGAATCTGGATGTTCCTCAGGGTTCCTCCACAGCTCTGGTTAGGTGAGAAACAACAATCACACAACAACAACAACACGATTCAAACTTCTCCCAGAAAAATTAAATCTAACAAACCGCCCACGCAGAGGAAGGAAGTCTTTGTTTCTGGCCCGAGCACTCCCTAAATGACCCGGAGGCCCGGCGAGGCTGCAGCAGGCCAAACCTGCAACACATCCCTGTGAGAACAACACTGGTAGCAAGGCTTCCTCACACACACACACACACACACACACGCACGCACGCACGCACACACACGCACGCGCACGCACGCACGCACGCACACACACACACACACACACACACACACGCACACACACCTTACAGAAAGAGTGACTTCACTTTTCCACAATGAAATGACTCATTGTTCCTCATGCAGCAGGTGAAACTTCAGTTTAAAATAAACAGCTCAGGTTAACTGCAGGAAGCTGGACCCTAGAGGGTCACGTTAAGTTTCCTTTCACTCGTGAATCAGCTGATTTAGTCTGATCACGCTTTTCTTCCCTGAAGCATGTCAGACAAGGACTAAGAGGACTCCTTTGGTTCTCGGACATGCTGGAAGTTTATGTTTGTGGAGAGAAAGGACGTGTCTCCGAGGCTTCATGTCTGGTAGTTCAGCGACACCTGCTGGCTAAAAGAGGAACTGCTGCAGAAAGACGAGTGTGCTGTTTTATTTTGGTCAGACGGCATCAGTCTTTTACTTGACGTTTATAAGACAACGCTGCCACAACTTACTTTAAGTTTTTTTCTTGATATAAAAACGCAGATAAATCCTGCCACTGTCATCTTACCATACCATATCAGATCATTTATATGACACAATTTCAGAAGAGCGTGGCAGCTGGCCAAAGTGCTGTACAGAAAAGAGCCAAAGACTCAGACAAAACAAAAGGATAATAGCAAGGAAACCCAGGAATAGGTTATAATGCATGAAAGACATTAAAATACATACTGAAGTGATCAATCATGCACAATTAAATGCACTATTCTTCTTCCGGCTCTTGGAGGGTGCAGATGCTTTTTTCCTCCTCTCCTCCATATCTTATCCTCAAGGCTTTTGTCTGTCTGTATGTGGGTGCTGGGTGCACGGCTGCTTCTGCATTTTTTCTGGAAACTGAAATTCACTAAAATGGATCTCGTCAGCTGGTATCTCAACACGATTGATAAAAATTTTCAACAATGAGAACGGGAGAAGGGGCTCCCAGATGCCCCTCTGGGACAGACCCAGTTGGACACATCATGGACTCCTGGAAACAGTGGAACTTGATCTGTTTATCTCAGCTGTCTGTGGAGGACTCTGAAGATGTGTGGATATTTGTGGTGATGGTGTCGGGTTTCCTGCTGATTGGCCTTGGAGGCTACCTGGCTTACCGGGAAAAAAACGAGCTGTCGAGGAATATTGGCCGGATCCCGGAGCTCAGAGATGGTGGTTCCCGGGAGAAGTGGAATAAGAGCAGAATAAGGCGGAACAGGTGTGTCTTCAGCTGCTTTTTAAAGGAGACCACTGAGTCCACTGATCTCAGGCTCGGGGGAGAGAGTTCCAGGGTCTGGGGGCCACAGCAGCAAATGATCTGTCACCTTTGACCTTTAGCCTGGTGCTGCACAACCAGAAGGCTTTGATCACTGGATCTCAGGGACCTGCTGGGCAGGGGCGGATTTTGGACTGAAGATCCGGGGCTTAACACACACACACGCGCGCGCGCGCACACACACACACACACACACACACACACACACACACACACACACACACACACACACACACACACACACACACACACACACACACACACACACACACATGCACGCACTAGTCAACATCATATATATATGTCTTGTACCACATAATTTTTAATCTGAAGCTACATATGAAGCATATTCAGGGCAGAGTATTGTTCCTGTTAGTGTTTAGTGTGAGATGATAGTAAATATTCCCGCTCTTTCTCCAACAACTTTACCTGATAGTAAGCTAACTTTAGGCTAACCAGCAGCACAACAAATATTTTCTAATAAGACTCACAAACCTGAGTCAGCACCAGTCTCATCAAAGCTGGGGTTCTGTCGCCGTACTTTTGGTCTAAAAACGTCCTTATGTCCATCTTCACTCATGCGTTTCAGGCAGAGAGTGTAGAAGAAGCCGGCTGCTGAAGGGCTTCTTCTTCAGTGGTGGAGGCTCAGGCAGGCTGTATACAAACTACTGCCAGCTGCTCCCTCTCTGTAGGACTTTGGTACTGCATGTTACTTACACGATTTAGATCCGGGGCTTTTCGTAAACATTCAGGGCTTGGGCCCAAGTAGCCGGGCCTAACGCCGCCCCTGCTGCTGGGGGTGTAGGGACTGAGAAGATCACTGTTATGTAAATTTTATAATTATTATTTGATCATTGAATCAATCACCTGAATGTAATATGTATTTCTCTTTGCCTAAATGCATGCTCACTTATTCAGATGCACCCACACTCAAGCTCACACAGACACTCCCACACACACACACACACACATTTTCATATCTCATGTTACAAATAAACTGAGAATTCAGGAGCTCGGGGCAGTAGCCTTGTAGCTTCTGGCTCCTCATTGCAATCTGGATACTTGTCTGTCATTTGTTTATTTTTCTCTGGTTGCAGGCACTGGGTTGTTTTAGCAAACCCGAACCAGCTCCGATTGTGCTGTGGGCAAAGAAAAGTCTTCCTCTGCATCACTCTCACATGCAGCATCTCCTTGTGTAAAGTGCACCAATCGTTGAACGATGCACAGTGACCCCATCTGCAGCAGGATGATGCTGTAGGTCTTTGGTGCCGGTCTATGGGTTGACTCTGACTGTTCTCAACATTATTTGCTTCTGTTTATCTGAGATTTTTCTTCGTCTGCCACTTGGAGTCTTAAGTTGAACTGTGGTCTTCCATTTCCTCATCTTCCAAACTGTGGAACTGAGGTCATTTTTTGTTGTGGTGTCCAAATGTATGCACCTGCCTAATTATGTTTAATCAGTTATTGCATACTTTCTGTAAATGTTGTTTCACTTCTCAGATCTGTCTCCCATATGATACGCGTACCTGAAACATTCCATCATAACCAACAATTTATACAGGAAACTCATGCAGTTTAACAAGGCTGCCCAAACCCTCACATCCCCCTGTAAATTATTGTCAGTCTTCTCATCTTCTTATAAACTTTTTCCAGTTTAATCTCGATTTTCTCAAAATTTAAGAGTAACTAAACCCCAAAATAACACCTTTTTGCTTATAAACTGTATAATTGGGACTTTATAAATGCAATCTTTCTGTTTCTGTGCATTTTTTGACATGTTTGTGTAAACTTGATTAAATCCAGAATCTAGGTCTAAAAACGTCTTAGTGCTGCCCCCTGTGGTAGAACAGCGGCTACTGCATTTTAAACTTGTGATTGACTAATTTCACGTCATCGGTAAAGTCTCCTCCCACTCCCCACACGTGGCCATGCCACTCGGTGCCTCCTGGCCACGCCCTCTTTCATTGCATTTTTCAGATCTTGACAAGGGGTGGAGTTACATTTTCTGATGGTGTGCAGTCTCTTTTGAATTTATTGATGAAATTTAAACTTGATTCCAAAACTTTTCCTATTTTTTCCAACTTTATTATAAAACTAAGTTTTCTCTTCCTTCTGCCGTTTTCCAATAATAGAATTTCATCATCAACAGTTTGTCTGTCCTGGAAAATAAACGTAGACCTTTTAAGATGTTTGATAGTTGAGAGTTTTCACTTAGCTGTCCCGGGGATGAGCGGACACACACGTGACAAACGTGCGCTTTCATCGTTCAGTTTATTTCACTGCCTTGTTGAAGGTAATCCTGAATCTCCTCCCAGAACACAGGAAGTCTCAAACGGCGCTCGTGTGTCCAGGAAAACCAAATCGTGAGCGAAAGTGATGAATTTAAAAAGTAAGACTCAAGTCTCTCACTTTTAAAAACAAAAAGTTTAAAAAGAAATGAAATTAGCACTCGGCCAAACTGAAGGAGATGACTGTGCAAAAAACAATGCATGAAAGTCCCGAAGTGGAGCCGGTGGGAACATTTACGTTATCAGCTTACCGACACACCCCACACCCAGAAAATATTCCCATCATGTCCGTTACATTAAAAGTACATTTCCTTTATCCGTACTAGTTGTCACAACAAGTAGTTAAACGCAGGCAACCACTAAGGCAACATGTGAACTACAACAAAACATTCTGTATGCCACGGTGCAGCTTCCTCAAGTCGCCCTCCAAACCAACCCAGCATGACCTAAAGCTAGAAGGTCACAGGAGCTACTCACCAGGTCAACTACTCGATAAAAAGTACAAAAACATCGACACTCAAAAACAATACTGAGGTTAAACAATAAGAGGACCCACAGCGGTGTGTGTGTGTGTGTGTTTGCTCTGGAAGCTGAAGACACACTCCTGCAGCGATGTCGGAGCAGAGGCTTGGAGGAGGGTTCGCAGGTGGAGGAAGGACCGATCCGAGGAGAATATTTATCTCAGGGAGGAGACACAGTCCAGACGTCCTTGCTGGGTCCTGGTCAGTCCTGGATGTGGTGGTTTGGGTCCAGCAGGATGTTTGAACAGAGGACACACGTTGCCCCCCCCCCCGTGTCTACAGTGCAACATGCAGGACACAGTAGACAGTAGGCCTGTCTGAAGCTGGACTTGGACTGGGTGTGTGTGTGTGTGTGTGTGTGTGTGTGTGTGTGTGGAAGCAGGCTGTGTAGTGTAGCTGTGCAGAAGAAGAGGTGGATGGGTAGACAGTGTGAGAAAGTAGGTGCGTTGTCTCTGTCTCTTCATGATGTCCCCTGTCTCTTTTGCTGCTGCACCCGGATGAGCTCCAGCTGTTTTTTGCACTTCTGGTAGTACGTGGACAGACTTTTGTTCTCCTCCAGCAGCTTTTTGTGCTCCTGCACCAGACGGGAAGTGTTCTGCTGGTCCTTCTCGTCTTGGTCCAATTCAGCAATGAGCTCCTTCCTGCAGACACAAGCACACAGATGAGCTGAAGCTAAAGCAGCTCATGGAAGTGATCCATCTTGATCCTCTATGGAGGAACTAGGGGTAACTTTGGTATCTGGGGACTCTGATCCTCAAGTCTCAGGACCATCTCACCCAGGACCAGTCCACGAGGCTCAAGAGGACCAACAACCAATGGAATCTCTGAGTTGGTTTCACTTTTACTTTGAGTCATTTAACATGAACAAGAACTCAAACTAGCAGGACGAGCGGCTCGTCTCTCCTCTTCCTGAAGTTTTTAGTCTCCAGGCAGGTAGGTGGCTAAAGCGGGTCAGAACCCCAGAACGGATTTCAAAAACACTTTTCATAAACTTTTTCAGCTCTTAATAATAATAATAATGCACAGGTTTTATATAACACTTGTAAAATCTACACGGACAGGACAAATGAACAAAATGAGAAAAGGTTCATGTGGTTTGAACGCTTGACTTTCTGAAGTGAGTCCAAAGCACAAATGTGTTGACATCTTTGTCTCTTCTAACATCAGAAGGGCGTTAAAGAGCATTCACAAGCAGCAACTGTGGTTTACAGCAGCTGTGGCAGTGCACGTAGCCCTAACCCTAATCCCTCTGGGCATTCCCAACCAGAGGGATGAGGGATTTATACACCGGCAACAGAGCAGCACCCGAGGTCCCGAGTGCCGAGTGGTGTATGGACCCGGTTACTGCTACAACTGGGTTTCCACCTGTAGACACCTGCTAGCAGGAGCAAAGAGACAAACGGTGGTCTGTATAGAAAACTGAACGACGCCGTGACCTTCTGCAAAAAGTCATTTGAAGGGACTTTATTCTAATGTTCTGATGGTCTGTAGAGTCAAAGTTAAATACTGCAGGTATCAGAAGCTGTGGTTGGTTCTGGAGATGAAGCCGGCTGTGCAGCTCCACTTACTTCCTCTGGATCAGCAGGGCTATCTCTGTTTGCACTTTCAGGTATTCCTGGGCCATCTTGCAGTGCTGCTCAAACACAGCCATGGACTCTTTGGAGTTTGGACACGGAGCGAGAGGCTGGAACACAAAAACACGACAGGTTTTCAGCTGTGGCTCCAGGCGGCGCTGGTGTGTGGCACCAACATGATGAAGTTCAGGGTTTACCTGCAGCTGATGATCCAGAGTGAGATACGCCATGGGAATGGAGTTGTCTGAGCTATTAGTGTCTGAGGAGATGGAGGCATAAGAAATGAGACGCCTAAAAACGGTGATGAGCAGACGTGATTACAGTCCTCGTGTTAGAAGGATCACCAAGACTAAACTTTAATGTAATTAGTCCAGTTAATGTCAGCGAGACCAAAAACGGCGCATGTGTGCGTGTGCGCGTGTGTGTGTGTCCTGAGGACCTGTGGGATCATCACGGGGGAAGTATTCCCTGGTGCTGGTCTTGTCAGAAGGCATCCTGACGCTAGGACTGGATGACCGGCTGCTGCTTCTGCTCCCCTGCATGAGGAAATCATACTTAATCATCACAGAAACTAGGTCAGATAATAGTCTTCTTTATAAAATAATAATCAAATAAACCAGAGCACTTCCTGTCCAACATCATCAACCCACAGAGATTAGTTTTGAAAAGACAAAATTTCCCTTTGAGCAGATTCCAAACCACTACGACGTCATAAAGATCCACCAAAAACTGGTTTTTAAACCACCTCAATTCAATTCAAAGATACTTTATTAATCCCAGAGGGAAATTAGAGTTTCAGTACACACAGTTCTGAGATCAGACATACGTACATAGACACATGACAAGAATTGGTGACTGTGGTCATTCGCAACCCCAGTCGCGCTACCCTAATAGATCAAGAGGGTTTATATGAGGACAGTCAGGGGGAGGGAAAAAAGGCACTTCAGAGTTACCCTCCACAGAAAGGACAGCTTTGCTATGCAAAAAAACACCTCAGACAGAAATGCACACACACTTCAGACATTACACAACATAAGTGTCCACTAGGTGGGCAGGTAGGGTTGGGACTCTCCTCACTTCAGAGCGTGCAGTCGCATGGGGCAGCGCTCGTCACCTCCGTTTGGACAGGGGAGGGAGATAATGGGTTAGAGAGCACATTGACTCCTAGATACGGTTCCACGGCCTTCACCGGTCACAGTCCCACCCAGGCTGGGAAAGGGAGAAATAGTTTCCATAGCGACGGCAGCATTCCACATTTCTTCTGAGGGGGGAGTTTTCACTCCAGCCTCACAGGCTCCAGATTCAGATAAGAATGGTTTTGGAGACAAACAGAGAGATAATTTCCTCTCTGCTTTAGTGTTCTGTTGGTCTTCAACCCCTCTAGATCCAATAATGGCGTAATTAATCCATCCCAATCCGTGCTGATCTGTCCAGTCGCTCCTTGATGGAATCCACCTTTTGTGCCAGAGCCTGAATCTCAGCCAAAGTTCCAAGCTTACGACTCATCTCAACAACTATATGAGTTTGTGAGTTCACCGCACGATGCATTCCATCCCTGAGCTCCGGGATTCAGCCAATATTCCTCGAAAGCTCGTTAATTTTCCGGTAAGCCAGGTAACCGCTCAGACCAAACAGCAGGAATCCCGACACCAACACGACAAATATCCAAACATCTTCAGAATCATCTACAGTTGAGAGAGGCAGATCAGGTTCCACTGTTTCCAGGAGTCCATGATATACCCAGCTGGCTCTGTCCCAGTGGGGCATCCGGGAGCCCCTTCTCCCGTTCTCACCGTTGAAAAAATTTTGTCAATGGCGTTGAGAGACCAACTGACCAGATCCATTTTTAATAATTTCCAGGCTCCAGAAAAAATGCAGAAAGGGCCGTGCATAGACAGGACAAAGAGCCTGGGGATAAGGAGGGAGGGAGAGGAGAAAAAGCGTCTGTACTCTCCAAGAGCCGGAGGAAGAGGATCAATAGGATCAATTCCCCGTGAGACCAGAAGAGGGCGATAGATGGCTAATGTCTGATTAACATTTAGTGATTTCTCTATTTAAATGAACCCAAACAAAAGAGGGAGAGCCAGAAACCAGCCTGGAACCAACCTTCTGCATTACCTTTTAATTCCCAAGAGCTGAACCTCCAAGTTTCACATATTATTAACAGAGCAGGTTTGTAATGTTTCACCAAGATCTTGCATTGATGACGGTAGCATCTGACCGCTGCGCAAAGCCTTCTCCAGCACATCTCAAACATTCTCAATGGGATTAAGGTCTGGACTCTGTGGTGGCCAATCCATGTGTGAAAATGATGTATCATGCTCCCTGAACCTCTTTCACTATTTGAGCCTGATGAATCCTGGCATTGTCATCTTGGAATATGCCCGTGCCATCAGGGAAGCTGGAATAACCCGGTCATTCAGGATATTCAGGTAGTCAGCTGACCTCATTCTTGTAGCACATCCTGTTGCTGAACCTAGACCTGACCAACTGCAGCAAGCCCAGATCATAGCACTTCCACCACAGGCTTGTACAGTGGGCACTAGGCATGATGGGTGTATCACTTCATCTGCCTCTCTTTTTACCCTGATGCACCCTAAGTATGGAACAGGGTCCACCTGGACTCATCAGACCAGTTTGTAATAATGCGTTGGACAGTCCTTAACCCAGTTTTAGTCATTTCTGTATCTCCTTAGATGTTTTCTCTGTTTAATGCACCAATGATCTGACTCTTCTCACAGACCACCAGATGTGTCTTTCCACATGGTTATTTAGGAAATGAAAAGCAACTTGTTGCACCAGTTGGGTTAAATTACATGTTGCAGGTGAAAGAAAATCACTCTGCAGTAATTATCCAAAAGGAAGCTCCTACCTATCTGCTTAGTTAAGTCCAGGTTGCCGGGCAGTGTAGACGAGCCTGGTACTGATCCCCAGCTGTTAATACTGGCGTTGATTAGGGACGCACCTATATTTCAGAACGGAGTACTACTACAGCAGCAGTAGCTCAGGAGGTAGAGCGGGTTGTCCAGTAATCAGAAGGTTGCAGGTTCAATCAGAGAATTCTGTTGTTGTGTCCTTGGGCAAGACACTTAACCCACCTTGCCTGCTGGTCAGAGGGACCGGTGGCGCCCGTGCTTGGAAACCTCGCCTGTCAGTGTGCCCCAGGGCAGCTGTGGCTACATCGTAGCTCATCACCACCAGGGTATGAATGTGTGTGTGTGTGTGTGTGAATGGATGAATGATACACTGTAGTGTAAAGCTCTTTGGAGTCCTCTGACTCTGAAAGGCGCTATAAAAGTGTAGGTCATTCATCACTTATCATACTGATAAACATCACTGCATGCCTTGAAATGAACATGGTTAAACTACATGTATTTTACTAGAATATAGGAGTCCTTGTGGGGGCGCTGGAGGGAGCTCCTTCCTGAGACTCCTTTGTTCTCTCGAGTGACTTCAATGCTCACCTGGGCAACAACAGTAAGGCCTGGAGAAGTGTGGTTGGCAGGAATGGCCCCCTCATCTGAATCTGAACAGTGTTTGTTATTGGACCTCTGTGCTCATGCCAAAGGTGTCCATTAGAGCTGAAGAAAATGATCAAATAACCGATGCATCGAGATGCCAACATATACGATTCTGAATCGTAGAAGAACACCATAATCAGTTATAGTGGAATGCAGATTCGTTTTTTTCAACTGCAGCACCAGCGTCAAATGCTAATTTATCAGAGAGGGACGTCACATTTACCGAGTAGGAAATATTGGTCCGCCTTAATGTGGTGTTGCAGGGTTGAGCGCTTGAGTTCTAACCTGAGACCAAACCCGAACCGATTAAACCCAACGGGTTGAGTCGGATTTGGGCTTGTGAATTATTTTAACTGAGCGGGTTGGGTCACACAGCGCACTCCATGCACCCAAAAAGCAAGACAGAGAGAAAGAAGCGCACAGTGTCTGTTCACACAAGTGAGGAGCTGAGGATGCACCTCCAGACACGCAGTATTATTTCTCCTCAGTGTTTTAAGAAGCGCTTAAAACCTCAGGTTCAGTCGGGCTCATTTAGACTGAGTGTTGTGATGTCGGGAGGTCCAGTGCTAGGGTGGGGGTGGGTGTGAGTGATGGCAGCTGCAGGATCTAATCATCTGTCTCTTTTATTTAGAGACACGAAGAAGTTTACAGGAGAGAGTCAGAAGGAGCTTCAATTCCCACCTCCAACAGAATTTTGAACATGTCTGGAGGGAGGCGGGGAACGTTAGCCACTTCCACATCTGGGTCAGAACGGTCCAGGCTCGGTAGCTTATTGGATTTAACATCTGGGAAATATGTGCATTTTCCGTTCTGAGTTGACTTTTTTTCAGACCTCTGTGAGGGGTTCCCGCTTGCGAGATTCATTATTATTTTGGATGCCTATCATTATCATCCCAGCCGCTTCACACTCGGCTGCGAACCGCTCCAGTGAAAGCTGGAGATCGCTGTCCGTTGAAGCCAACAGGACCACATCATCTGCAAAAAGCAGAGACCTGATTCTTAGGCCACCAAAACAGACCTCCTCAACACCTTGGCTGCACGTAGAAATCCTGTCCAAAAAAAAGATGAACAGAATTGGTGATAAATGGCAGCCTTGGCGGATTCCAACTCTCACCAGAAACAAGCACGACCAACTGCCGGCATTGCAGACCAAGCTCTGACACCGATTATGAGGGGATATAAACAGCCCTTATCAAAGGGCCTGGTACCCCATACTCCCAGAGTACCCCCCACAGGTTCCCCCGGGGAATGCGGCCGGACGCCTTCTCCAAATCCACAAAACGCGTAAATTGGTTGAGCAAACTCCAACGCACCCTCCAGGACCCCTTTAAAGGTATAGAGCTGGCTCAGTGTTCCACGGCCAGGACGAAAACCACATTGTTCCTCCTGAATCCGAGGTTTAACAATCCGATGGACCTTTCTCTCCAGAACCCTTGAATAGTCCTTACCAGGGAGGCTCAGAAGTGTGATCCCTCAGTAGTTGGAACACACTTGGCACCCCCCCCCCCCCCCCCCCCCCTTTTAAATAAGGGGACCACCACCCCAGTCTGCCAGTCCAGTGGAACTGCCCCTGATGTCCACGCGATATTGCAAAGCTGCGTCAACCAACACAGCCCAACAACATCCAGAGCCTTAAGGAACTCCGGGCAGATCTCATCCAACACCGGGGCCTTGCCACTGAGGAAATTTATGACCACCTCACTGACCTCGGCCCCAGAGATTTGAGAGACCAACTCAAAGTTCCGAAACTCTGCTTCCTCACTGGAAGATGTGCTGGTGGGATTGAGGAGGTCGTCAAAGTATTCAGTCCACTGATCCACAACGTCCCGAGTAGAGGTCAGCGGCACACGTCCCACTGTAAACAGTGTTGGTAGCACACCGCTTTCACCTCACGAGATGCCTGATGGTTGACCAGAATCTCCTTGAAGCCAAACGGAAGTCTTGTTTCATGGTCTCACCGAACTCCTCCCATGCCCGGGTTTTTGCCTTCGCGACCACCCGAGCCGCATACCGCTTGGACTGCCGGAACCCATCAGCTGCCCCTGGAGTCCCACAGGCCAAAAATATTTGATAGGACTCTTACTTCAGCTTGATAGCATCCCTAACAGCCGGTGGCCACCAGCGGGTTGCCACCACAACAGGCACCGACAACCCTGCAGCCACCTCAACAATAGAAGCATGGATCATGGCACACTTGGACTCAATGTCCCTTGCTTCCCTTGGGATGTGTTCAAAATCTGTCAGAGGTGGGAATTGAAACTCCATCTGACAGGAGACTCCGCCAAACGTTCCCAGCAGACTCACAATACGTTTGGGCCTGCCAGGTCTGACCGACTTCTTCCCCACCATCGAAGCCAACTCACCACCAGGTAGTGGTCAGTTTACAGCTCCACCCCTCTCTTCACCCAAATGTTTATGACATGCAGCCGCAGATCGGATCAAATGAAATGACAACAAAGTCAATCATCTAACTGCAGTCTAAGGTATCCTGGTGCCAAGAGCACATATGGACACCTTTATGCTTGAACATGGTGTTCATTATGGACAATCCATGATGTGCACATAAGTCCAGTAAAAAACACCACTCCGATTCAGATCAGGGGGGTGATTCCTCCCAACCACACCTTTCCACGTCTCACCGTCATTGCCCACATGAGCGTTAAAGTCCCCGAGCAGAACAAGGGAGTCACTTGAAGGAGCGCTCTCCAGTACCCCCTTCTAGGACTCCAAAAAGGATGGGCAATCTAAGCTGCAGTTTGTTGCATAAGTCAGAACCCATTCCCTTACATGAAGGAGGGAGGCTACCCTCTCATTCACTGGGGTAAACCTCAATGTACAGGCACCAAGTTGTGGGCAACAAGTATGCTCACCCCTGTTTGGGGCCTCTTAATGGAGCAACTCCATAGTGGTAGTAAGTCCAACCACTTTCGAGGAAACTGGTTCTGGTGTCAGAGCCATGCATTGAAGTGAGTCCAACTACTGTATATCTAGCCAGAAACTCTCAACCTCCAACACCAACACCGAACCAAGAGCTTGTTTTTGTATTCGAGGATCAGACTGCCAAGGTCCCTGCCTTCGGCTACAACCCAACACACAATGCACCCGACCCCTTTGGCCCCTCCCATGAGTGGTGAGCTCATGGAAAGGGGGACCCACATTTCCTCTTTAGGCTGTGCCCGGCCAGGCTCCATGGGTAAAAGCCCGGCCACCAGACGCTTGCCAGCGTGCCCCAAATCCAGGCCTGGCTCCAGAGGGGGCCTAGGTGACCCACGTCCGGGTGAGAGAACACTGTTTCCACGTGTCTTGTTCTTCATAAGGGGTCTTTGGGCTGCACTTTGATCACTCACCTAGATCCTGTTTGCCATGGGTGACATTTTTATTTTTTAAATGTTTTTCTGTTTTACTTATGATTTTCAACTAAGTATTTGTTTCATCATTGGCTTTCCATACAGGTTTATAGGGACATAACACACGTTTAGAATGCGTGAAATTTTGATCCCTTAGGCTTGCCATATTGGAAGAGGCGTTTGATGGTGTTCCTCTGGAGGCCCTGTAGGGTACCAGGTCCTCTGATAGGGACTGTTAAGCCCCATTCCCACCTGTACCGGGTCGGCCCGGGCCGGGTAGCGTAGGTTGTTTACATATCTGGGTGGCCTGGAATTTTCCCGGGCCAACCAAGGCTCATTCTCGGCCCTCTTCCCGAGGGGTACTGCTTCAGGCCGACCAGGGCCAACACACCCACTGCTGACAGCAAATTCACACCTTCCATTAGAGCAAGCCTCTGATTGGTGGGTAGAATCAGCCCACATGGGCTTAAGACAAGGATGTGTGGAATCAACCGGGCCAGGCTGGGGCCGACTGGGGCTACCCGGCCCGGGCCGACCCGGTACAGATGGGAATGGCCCATAAGATACCTATATGACCAGTGTCAGAGCTTGGTCCATATTGGCAGCAGTAGTCTGACTCGTTTCCAGTGAGAGTTGGAGTCCAACAAGGGTGCTCTTTGTCACTGACTCTGTTCATAACTTTTACGGACAGGTTTTCTAGGTGCAGCCAAAGTGTTGAGAGGATCCGTTTTGGTGAAGAAGGATCATGTCTCTGCTGTTTGCAGATGATGTGGCTTCATCAGGGATTTGTAGTCTTTGAAGCAAATTAGGCACCAGGCTAGTTCTAATACATATTTTATATATGATCTGCAGGCCAAATAAAAACAGACCACGAGCCAGATTTAACCCGAGTTTGACACCTATGCCCTACGCTGTCCCTTCAGAGAAACGTATATAAACTTATTTTAATATCTTAAATGTTTTTATGGTCCGTATCTGTGCTGTTTAAAAGGAAGTGCCAGACTGAGACTCAGGTGAGCATCTTTATTGGATCTCACTGATAACGGGAATATGAGCAGCTGTGGAGGTTTACTGACAGGTTTGTGCAGTTTCAGGATTCTGTTTGGGTTTCTGCTGATGTTTTATAATTCACCCTAATGCACAGCCTATAGTATGTTTGTAGGACAAAAATGCGTCGAGGGCAATTTTACTATCTATTTTCTTTCCAACGGGAAATAAAGTGGATTAAAGTGAGAGTTCCAAGTGTTTGCTGTTGAGGCTGAGTGGGTCTTACCTGGTTGGACTCTGTGCCGATGGCTGACAGATCCTGGACAGAACGACGCCTCTGTGCATCAATTGTGCCTGAGAATGGAGGAGGGTACAAGCAAACACAAAGGACAGAATGAGACCTGCACAGCTTTATGCAACTACAAAAGGAGACCAATTCCTGTTTGTTTTGAGAAAATAGGTTGTCTAGAGAACCAGAGGGGACAGCTGGACAGTTTTACACCATTTGTCTTAATGCCAGAGTGGCGTGTGGAACTTCAGTTCTAATAGCTCCCAGAGAAAACACACATCACACACACCAAAGGGATTCCGGTCAGCTACTAGGTCTGACTATGGTTCTGGCTTAAGGCAGATGGTGAGCCTTATGCAGCATCCCAGTAGTTTCATGGAAGTCACTGCAGACCAATATAATAAAACTCCTTTCAGCTTTAAAAAAAAATCTAAATTCACAAATGAGTGATAGTACAAGTTGCTGCAGCCCTGAAGAGTTAACTCGCTCATTTTTGATTTTGTGAGGACAGCTTAATGCCAATAATGTAAAATTAATAGTATTGACTCAATATAGGTTAAACTTAAACAAATAAACAATTCAAAAATATATTTTTCACATCCGAGTTCTTTCAGAGGATCAGTGGATTTAGTTTTCAGTGACTTTTTCTCGCTGGCCTTTTGTCGTCATGAACTCATGACACATGGAAACGAACCCTCTAGAGCTGCAGTATCAGCGGGGACTCAATTTCTGTTCTAAACACAAACATCCATGTTTACTTCAGACAAAAACCTAACCACTGGGATGTAACTGACACAGGCAACACGAGGAGGACAAAATAAGTTATGTTCTTTTAATGGTGGAGTTTAACTTTCTTCTCTTGCAACAGTTTTTCCAACCACAAAAGCAGGAACTATGAATGAAAGTGGAAAGTCTTCATGCAAATGGATCAATGTCCTCCCGCAAAAGGACATAGGATTACACTGTAGATGCATCAAGTTAATTCATTTAAAATAAATTCTGAGTTTTGGGAGAAGCTGGTAAAGCCATTTTTATTTAAAGCTTTCATAAATTCCCTCTCTGTACATGTTCCTGTGCAGGGGTGATAGAGGTTCATTCATTAAAATCCAGACAGGTCACCCACACTTCAGAGACCCATCATCTGGATCCGCCTAGAGTTCACCATGTTGATGAGCTAACAGTTAGCTGCTAGTCACGAGTCTGCTGCTACCTTAAAACATCTACTGCAAAATAAACATGAATATTTTATTTTGATTTCACATCAGGATAAATAATCTGATATTCCAGCAGGAAGTGTAACTATAGCACAAAAACCACTGCAAAATGTTTGAATACATCAGGGAGAAGAAGTATTTGACATATCAGTATTATCACCAGTACGGGTATTTCTAACTCACACATTTGCACCAGATGTCGCCAACTAGCCAAATATTGAATTCATACAAAAAAATCAGAACATTTGGGAGTACAAGTTGAGTCACAATAAAAAAGTATTAAACACGTTGATAATTTGTAGGAAAGCTTTAGTTGGTGACTACAGCTTCTAGACGGCACTTGTACGGAGAGACCAGTCCACTTCAACAGGCCTGCCAGTACCCCTCGCTGAAAAGCACCCTCAAACTCAACTGTTGGTATGATTTCTTGGGGTGGTAGACAGTGTCATTTTCCCTTCAAACATGGCGTGTAGAATGACGAGCAAAAAGTAGACTTTAGGTTTCGTCTGACTATATTATAGTCTCTCTCGGTAATCCACAGGCTTCTTCTAATGAAGGGTAGATTATTCTTTACCTGTCCCGACAGTTTTGGCTTCTCACTTAAAAGCTGTCTTCATGTCATGTCATCTGTATGAACGCTGACGTGGGAAGGGTGCATGGATCTGTCGAGGTCGCAGGCCCCCACCCCCCTGGTATTTTGGCCTATTCTTTCATTCAGAATGTCTGTAGAGCTGTGATGTTTTGGGGCTGTTGCTGGGCAGCATTGACTTGTGTGTGAATTTGTGTGCGTGGGTGAATGACTGTGTTGTAAAGCACCTTGGGGGGTTGTAGAACCTCAGAAGGAGCTATATTTAATTTAATACAGCCAATTTGCTATTTATCATTGTGAGAAAGAAGTAGCTCAGGAGGTAAAGCGGGTTGTCCAGTAATCGGAAGGTTGCAGGTTCGATCCCGGTTCCGACCAGAGAATGCTGCTGTTGTGTCCTTGGGCAAGACACTTAACCCGCTTTGCCTGCTGGTGATGGTCGGAAAGACTGGTGGCGCTTGTATTCAGTAGGCTTCACCTCTGTCAGTGCGCCCCAGGGCAGCTGTGGTTACATTGTAGCTCATCCTCACCAGCGTGTGAATGGGTGAATGTGTGATTGTGTTGTGAAGCGCCTTGGGGGGTTGTAGAACCCTAAGAAGGTGCTATACAAATACAGGCCATTTACATTCAACTCCCTCCACAGATTCTCTATTGGTCTGAGGTCTGAAGACATGCTAGGCCACTCCATCTTTGGGCGGTGTATTTGGGATCATTATTGTGCTGGAAGATTCAACCACCACTGATGGGAGGAGTTTGCCCAAAATCTTACAATATGTGGCTCCATTCATCCTTTCTTGTTGTTTGTTGTTCCTAACATGCAACGCAGCATTCTTCCCCCTCCAAACACACAGAGTTCTATATTGGTCTCATATGACCACATGACATTCTCCCAGTCTTCCTGTAAATCATCCAGATGACCACTGGCAAATCTGAGATGGTCCTGGATATGTGCTGGCAAAGCAGAGGGACCTTTAGAGGTGGTGTGCCACTTATTGTAACCTTTTGTCATGTGGTAGTAGATCTCTTGAATTCACTGACCAGCTCCCCCATGCCATTCTGGGTGGTTTCCTCACTGATCAAGATCATTTGTACCCCATGGTCATGGTGTGATCTTGCGTTGAGTCCAAGGTCAAGGGAGACTGTCAATAATCTTGAAGTTATTCCTTTTTCTACTAACTGATCCAACGTTGATCTGTTCTCACCAAACTACTTGCTTATTGAAGGCTGGCTCATCCCAGTCATGTGCTGACGTACAACCTTGTCCCTGGTGGCCCAAGACAGCTCTCTGGTCTTGAACAGGCTGCCTCGAGAGCAGAGGATTACCCTGCCAAGGGTTTTCTGCTGTTGAATCCTTGAGCAGGACACTTCACCCAACTTGCCTGCATTGGTGATGGTCTGAGGGGCCGACAGTAGAAAATGGCAGCCTCGCCTCTGTCGGACTGCACCAGGGCGGCTGTGGTTATGTAGTATGTGAATGCTTTGAGCGCCTAGAAAAGCACTATATAAGCCTAATCAATTATAATTTTAATAAATCGTAAAATGTGATTGTCTGGATTTATTAATCATTATCTCTCTCACAGTTCAAGTGTATTTATGATGATTACAAATTACAAAGCTCTAAAATATTTTTAGGTGGGCCACGTGGCATAAGCACTGGCTGCCAAATACTTTTTTGCCCCACTAAGTGGAACAGACCACAGTATTCATGTTTACTGGAAACTGGTTTATTTCCCCTCTAAGTGTTTTGCTGGGTTTCACTCACATGATGTCTGCAGCCACGCAAAACTCAAATGGGGGACAGGAAGTGTTTTACTGCGCAACAAAACATTGAGATAAGACACGGCACGATGGATGAAAGCGATAATACTAAGGCTTTAAATGAGCTGGCACAGACGCGATCTAACAAAAAAAAACATCTTCTTTTAGGTTACGACTGCTATAGTTTTAAAAGTCGCACTTTTCATACACTGTGGAGGATTTACCCAGCGCTGAAGCGATCAGCAACAAACTACCTCGTGCTGCCTTCCTCATATCACTGCAAACCAAACGAAAGCCTTTTCTAAGCCTGGAAGTCTACAGCTGCTTTATTTCAGGTTGGGTCACCTTTTATTGATCCGGAGAGAAGCTTTAAATGACGATCGTCTTCTTTTTGCTTGGTAGTGAGTTTTAATTCATTAACTCATGATAATATCCCATTAGGACAGTGGGAGGGTTAATAAAACACTCAGTAATCTGTTACCTGTTAGAATGTGATCGCTGTAAACTCCAGCATCGTCCGTTTCAGCTCCTGTTTTAAGTCGTAGATTACTGATTCACCTCTGCAGGCGTCTTTCAGAACGCTTTTTTTTAAATGAAGTCCATTGTGGCGCTCTACATTTGTCTTTGTCCCGATTACAGTGATTGTAATAACCAAAGACATATAATTTCAGCATTTTAACGCCCAGTCACCAAAGTCAGTAGTGTTTTGTGCAACGCCGGCTACTCCCGGACACCCATCTGCATTTGGTGATGAAGATGCAACGTTAAGTGAAACCCAGCAATTCGGAAACGCCAACTGTGGATTAGACTAATCTAAAATCATCACACAGAGAAGAAAAATCGCTCACTTCACTTGCTCAATGTTCACAAGAAGGACCCTTTTTCTATGACACGACTGTATTTGTATTTATCGCCTATGTCACAATAAACTCATTTATAGATTTTAAAAGTTTAAATGCAGCACAAAACATTAAAAAGTATTCAAGTTTTGTATTAATCAACTATATAAGATAGTTAGGTAGCACAGGCCAGTGAAAGGTCTAAGGCAAACTAAAACTACAACACATGAGGGGACACACACAAACACACAAGTTTGCTTTTCTATCCATTTTAGGACTTTGTATTGACTTGCATTCATTTTATTAACTGCATTTATGTCTAACCCTAACCCTAACCAGTGCATTCCTCAACCTACCTGTAACAAACAGTCAATTCACATCTTACCTCTAAACCAAAAATAGGGGGCCCACCGTATTAGCACCGGGTTTTGGTCCTAATACGGCCCATCGGTCTTCAGATTAGTAAAAATGCCAGTTTTGGTTCCAAGTAGGATAGTTAAACGAGCACACACACACACACACACACACACACACACACACACACACACACGCACAAACAAAATACAAAAACTCATAAACACACACAAACAACACAAGCACTTGGATCTTGACTGTGATAAAAAAATTAAACTATCACTAAATATCACAACTTGTCCTTAAGAGCTAAGGTTTTAAAAGATGCAATAAGAAAATCTGATATTTAGCATCCCTTGGTGCTGCCATGTGGGTCTTTACTGCCTCTGTACACTCCAAACACGAACAACAACCACCATCCATTATCTGTTAGAGTTTAGTGTCAGGAACTATGTTCCTAAAATGAGCCAGTTCAAAAATCCCCTTTTGTGACATCACAACAAGGGAAATTAGCATAGAAGATCCAACACTTTGTTACCAAAACATGGAGCAGAGCTATGGCTAGTAGCAAAGGGGTTGGTTGTTGGCTGCTAAGAACACGGATCCGGACACTCAGAAAACTGTGGCTCTACTTAGTTTGACTTGGAGGCAGACCAATTTAGCCTCGTTCCTGCTCAGTGGCTCAGTGAAGGACACTTCTGACGGAGTGAGCTGTACCTACTCACCCAGGCTCGTCCTCTGTTTAATTCTACACAGAGAAAGAGTCTGGTTACTCACAGGCAGAGAGGCACATGAGGGGCGGGGCTAGCCAGCTCTAAAATAACCAATCGGAAAAAAGGCGTAAACGAGGACTGTACCGCGCAACACTGTAGTTGATTTTAGCTGTAGTCAAAAACGGCGTCTGGTGAGGGCGCAAACATCTTTGTTTTTTTAGAAGAAAAGCTTTTAGTGCTTCTTGTTGTGGTTTTAAAGACATGTTCAAGTCAATTAGAACAGAGGAAACAGTCGCAGCGAACTCCGCTTCAGACGCCGCCTTCGTTGTTTATGAGAAAGTCAACGTGTGACGTACGCTGCTCAGCGCTGATTGGCTCAGTTAGCATTCTCAGTTGGTGGGGTTTTTGAATAGGATAGTTCCCAGACCCAATGCTTCCCATAAAGAAGCATGGGGCTGGCTGGTCAGCCTACCTACTCACACCAGTGTTTCCCCTACACAGGCTGAGGCGTGGAGCTGCGCCACGGCTACGAAAACGTACACGTATGTCCCAGAATAACATCTGCTTAAGAAAAGCTGTAAAACATCCTTTTCAATCTAAACAATGACCTAAAGCTCACACGCAGACTGACTCCTGTTTGCCATGAGAGATTCAGGTTTAGACGTGAATAGGTTCATCTGTGTACTCAGGTTCACTCTCGCTTCTGTCTCTGTTCCTCTCATTCAGATCTATCCTCTAACATTAGCCAAAATTAGCTCTGACCCTCAGTGAGAGGGAAATTAATCAACAAGGCCTTCTCAAAGTTAATGGATGTAAAGAGAGCAAGAACAGGGAAAATAGACATGCTAGCAGTGAGTCCTTTATGCATGAAGGTCAAGGACGAGTCCTGAAGAACGGGAGAGCTGATTCACACCTTGTGCCCATAATTTTCTGAAGCCAAGCCAGAGAGGGGACAGAGTCATGAGTTGGTAAACTGATCTCATCTGTGTTACTGCACTAAACCAACCATCAGCTGTTTGGTTTTACTGGAAGTCAGAGCCAATTTCCAGCAGAGAAAATCTAGATCCTCTAAAAGTTGCTAAGAGATGAGAAAGTTTTGCTAACAACTCATGATCTGCTCCTCACAGCTACAGGAAAAGGAAAAGTTCAACAGACATGAGGCAACTCTGATGTGTGTTACTCCAGGACCCGCTCAAATACCGCATCAGTACGTTTTATAGGGAGGAACAAATATACGGAGTAATATTTAACACAGATGTTTCTACACAAAATGATCACAAATACATTAAAACTATAACTCTTGTCCCATTCTGCTGACTTTTATGTTGATCTTGGTTGATTTTAGTAAGATATAACTACATTTTAGCACATCATTTTTACTCCACGAAATTACCAGTAAAGAACTCAACTCTGCCACCTACTGATGGAAACCAGGGTCTGCAGGCTCCTTAAAATGAGAAGTGGATGCTTCAGACACTTAAACGTCAGGCTTTCATAACGAAACGTGTTGGACACCAAAGTATTTCTGAAGGTATAATATTCCACTGCATAAGGATGGAATCTCTAGTAATGCTCTTACTTTGACAAACCAAGTTGCGGCATTTCCTGTCTGTTTACAGCAGAGATGAGCCATGACTCAGTGGGCGACTGAATTATAGTGGTTGTGATAGTTTGAATAACTGAGCAGTGATAATTTGAAGTAACACACATAGAGAGCCAGGTCAGGTGACAGCAACCCAGAGACTCAGCCAAGCAAGCTCTACCCGACCACCAGGAAGCCCGGTGGTCCAGCGATACCTGTGACGATGATCTTGGGGATATCCAGAATGGTTCCATAGGATGCAGTTTTACGGTGGCCTCGCTTATACAGGGGGCGTGCTGCGAAAACACACACACACACACACACACACACACACACACATACAGCTGCATACACAACAAGCATGCAGACTGACAGAATGCAGGCCCACCACAGGACTAACGTGGGCTACATACATGCAGAGCATACCGTGTGCGTGCAGGACAGACATGCACCCTGCCCCGTCCAGGAGCACTGCAACAGCATGCCAGTGTAGCAGTGTGGTGCACTGCTACACTGGCATGCTGTTGACCACTGTGCTTCAGCGCAACCAACACAACAGCAAGTATTCATCTGCAGTGCTTTTGGGAGAAGTTCCACTAAGCAACAAAAAGACAAAGTGTTAAATCAGCATCCAAGTCTGAGCAGCAACAGAACTTTTTAGGGTTGAAAAAAAAGAAAAAAAAACTCTAATTTCCCTCTGGGATTAATAAAGTATTACTGAACTGAACTGAATAGAACAAACACACGCTGAGACGAAACCCTGACTGTAAACATGACAGCTCAGCATGACGGCACTGATGTGTGCTTCCTGTGTTGGGACTGATTTGGGTTTTAGAACGAGGTTTAACCGGACTAAACTGCATGCTTTTACCCTCACTATGAATAAAGACAAACAGAAATCAAGAGGGCCAAGCCAGTTCAGTGGCTATCTGTTTCAGGTCACATGACACCTGGTCATACCTGCAGGTGCAAACGGCATCTTGGGCTCCAACTCAGACAGGTCAGTGCTCATTCTTTTGCTGTCGGAGGAAGTCAAGCAATGAGTTCGTGTAGGCAGGCTCTCGACACTGTCCCCCCCGGACAAAGGCAGGGTCCTGGACGGGTCTCCCTGCAAGAACGGCAGAACACATTTACATCTACGGCACAGAACCAACGTTTTATCTGAACCTACTGGACTAGGGATAGCTCCGGTTCACTTGTTCAAACACCAGACACACGAGTCTTTTAAACACCTAACACGATCAATGCTGCTGATGATCTCTTGAAACGTGATACGAGCAAGGTCTGAACTTATCACCTTTACTACAAATTCTACTACCCCTGAAATGCATTTTACTACCAACACAGTCACAAGCAGTGGCCCGTTTGGGGGTAGGGGACGCACAGCACTGATGAGCTGAAGGCAGGGACCTTGGTGGTCTGATCCTCGGCTACAGAAGCTGGTTCTCGGTGTGTGGAATGTCACCACTCCGATGGAGAGAGAGCCTGCGTTGGTGTGTGAGGTTGAGAGCTTCTGGCTAGATATAGTTTGACTCACCTCAGCGCATGGCTCTGGCTGGCCAGTTTACCAGTGCGGAGTTGCTCTCCCTGAGAGGAGCTGAGGGACGGGCACACTTGCTGGCCGGCCTTGGTGCCTGTACGTTTGAGTTTACCCCGGTGAGCGAGAGGGTAGCTTCCCTCCACTTCCCTGTGGGATGACGGGTCCCGACTGTTGTTTGTGCTTCTGCATCAACCTGCAGTTCCAAGTCCTTCCGTGCTCGTCATGGATTGTCCATAATGAACATCATGTTCAAGCATAAAGGTGTCCATATGTACTTCTGGCACCAGGACACCTGAGGTCGAAGTTCGATGAACGACTTAGTCATCATTTCATCTGACCTGCGGCCACATGTCTTGAACGCTCGGGTGAAGCGACGGGTGGAACTGTCCACTGACCACTACCTGCTGGTGAGTTGGCTTCGATGATGGGGGAGGAAGCCAGTCAGAACTGGCAGGCCCAAACGTAATGTGGGGGTACGAGTCTTCTGTCTGAAGGAGCCTATTTGTCTTCTAAATTTTCTAAAACAGCTTTAAGTATCTCTAGATCTTGTTCAAGGTGAAGGACAGACGGAGCAGGAGGTGGACAGGTGGATTGGTGCTGCATCGGCAGAGATGCGGGAGCTGTACCGAGACCTGTTGTGGTGAAGAGAGCTGAGCTGGAAGGTGAAGCTCTTGGTCGAGCTACGTTCCTACCCTATGGTCACGAGCTTTAGGTAGCGACCAAAAGAATGAGATTGTGGACACAAAAAGAGTTTTCTCTGCTGCTATGCCAGATAACCTGTGTTTGGATGACGGGTCAGCTAGCTAAAGGAAAACCGTTATTGTGAGGTGGAAAAGGCTCTTGCTAGTACAAACATGAGCAACAGAACCAATCCCATCCACGATGCAGGTCCTGCCTGGCGCCCCACAAAGATTCATCACAACAAAAACTCTGCTTTAATGCAAAAGTTACTAAACAATGGAGGACTGACAAAAAGAGACTACCAAGTCACTTTTGTGTTTATTACTTTCAAGGGCCTTAACTTGAGTTCATGACATGTTCTACCTTTGACTACCCCGTCTAAACCCGAATGACCCCGACAAAAGGATCTGAAGAGAACACCCCACCCTGGTAAAAGCACCAAAAGCTGGCAGCGTAGGTGGTGAAGGTTCTGACTCATCCAGTCATGGTAATCCTAAAGGGTTCAAATGAGGGCAACTGGACTTCTTTGGTTTCTTGAAGACATTTAGTTGATTCATCTTCCCTGCACCTGTAATGAGGCTCTGAACCTGATTCCAAAACACTTTCATTCCAGCTCACACCCTCCTGCATCTACTAAAACAGCCATGCCCACACAATAGGAGTTAACGACTCCAACAACTCCTCAGGAGGCAGGGGGTATTCATAGGTAGTTTCAGTTCGTTAAGCAACAATAGACAGCTACAGTTTATAAGCTTGACCCTCCCACATTCCAAATGAGAACCAGGAGAGCTGGGGCACTCAAATAAGTATAATATTTAGTGCTAAAGCTCTCCTGGTTCTCATTCTGAAGGTCATCCAGCTGTAGAGCACCAGCCTGAGTGGAAGACGTGCAGATAGTTGTATCTTCTCGCATATTCCAGTCAGAAAGAACAAAGCTCCTCGGATAAGAAGAGAAGCATCTTCAAGAACCCAAAGAATTCCAGTTCCTTCATCTGAAGTCCTTTGGATGACTGGAAGCAGTAGATTTTTCTGGTCTTACCTTTGGTTTGAAATAAGGTGCAAACTGAGGCGTGATCTTGATGGTGTCATTGCTTCCTTGAGAATCACTGTGCTCCATGTTCACATCACTTTTGTTGCTTGTGCTGGTGCCAGTATAGTCCAAGCCTGAGACTTGAATTACAACATACAAGTCAGGATGAATGTTTATCTTTATCACACAGAAAACATCTTCTTTGTGACTTTTGACAGTAAAACCACAGACTCCAATAAAAAGGTTCACAGGCACATGTCAGTTTCACTAAATCACTTTGACTCTATTAAATGGATCTAATGGAACATCTGGAGTAAAAGTAGATTTAATAACTGCTTACTGGTCCTTCAGGCCAACATGAGCATTATGACAGAGAAGACAATGTTTCTGTGGTTCTTTTTCTAACTTCGCCCGGTGTTTCACTACGGGGAATCGCCCTGGCGTGACCAACTACGGAAGCTCCAATGACATCACGTCTGTCCCTGACAGACCGGTTGTGCCGTGCCCAGGCTCCGCCCACCCAGTATATCCATGGCCTACCAACCCCCTCCTACTCATTCTCGCTTTCTTCCCGTGAGAAACTACACTTTGCTCCCTCGGCGATTTTCAGGCTATCTTGGCTAGCTGCTTAACTGTTCCCAGGCGTATCGTGAGGATACGTTGCCGAACGCGGTCCCAACGCTGTCTGGATTTGCGCTGAGTGCTTCTAAGTCACTTGGTACACTTCGCTAGGAACAGTCACCGCGGAAGCCGAAGGTGATGCGAACTCAGACCTCCTCGACTTGGACATGGAAGAGGAGGAAGAGGATTCCACCTTCCCAGCTTAACACACTAGGCCGCCTAGTGGCACTGGGGTGGCATCACAGGGGGATGCTGATCTGTACGAGGTTTGCAGACAAGCAGCAGCAAAGTTCATCATTCAGTAGACGGCCCCCAAAGGGGCAGAAGGGGTGGAACGAGACCTGTACGATAGTAAGAGGCTCCCACTATCCTCCTCTCCACCCAAGCAGCTCTTGCCGGCTGCGCCAGCATGCATGAGAGAAATGGGCCGTTACTGGTCTAGCCCATTTAAGAGAAAACTCCCCACCAAGGGATGCTCTAAACAGGAGGTGCATGGGATGGGAGAATTGGGGCTGGCCGAACCCCCAGCGGTGGAGCCTTCAGTGGCATACCACCTTCACCCCAACCGCAGATCCATATCAGCATCATCTAGCATTGCTCTCCCATCTAAAATGTATCGTCTCAGTTTTCAAATGGGCACACAGTCAGTGTCACCAAACACTCTGCTCCCAAATGTGTGCAAAAATGTTCATGGGGATCGTTTAAAAATAAAGACAGCTTTTCTGCAGCCAGGCATTCAGCCAAGGCCAGAAAGCTCCCCACAAAAAATAAACAAGCCCCATCAGGTCCCTTTACACTGAGCAGAGGGCTCTCTCGCTCTTCCCACGGGACGAGTCGAGGCTGCTAGGGTGATGGAGATGACGTCACCCAACAGCGGCTTGCTTTCGGCTCGGGCCGAGAGGTGGCGCGCATGCGCAGCTCTCTTGGGTTCTGATGACATTCCGTCTGGGTTACAGGCTTCAGTTTGCCTCAAAACCGCCCCGTTTCAACGGGATAATAACGTCAGCAGCAAAAGAGGATTCGGCGCATATCCTGGAAGAAGAAATTGCTTCACTGTTGAACAAAAAAGCGATCAGGATGGTGCCGAGCGACGAGGCCCACCAGGGTTTTTATTCACGCTCTTTCCTCATTCCAAAGGTTGGGAAATCTCACCGTCCCATACTCGACCTGCGTTTGTTAAACAAACACTTATGCAAGTACACTTCCAGAATGTTGACTCAAAAAACACTCTGCCGTTCCATCCACCCAGGAGATTGGTTTGTCACGATCGATCTCTCAGATGCTTATTTTCACATCTCTATTTATCCTCCACACAGGAAATTTCTCAGGTTTGCCCATCAAGGCACAGCCTAGGAGTTTCAGACCATCTCATTCGGGCTGTCATTAGCATGAGGGTGTTCACCAAGTGTGTGGAGGCGGCGCTGTCCTCTCTGAGGACTCGCCGAACTGACTTGACTCTGGACCTCTCTTCCCCTGAGCCTGAGATCAGTGGACTCAGTGGTCTCCTTTAAAAAGCAGCTGAAGACTCACTTGTTCAAGCTGGCTTTTGTATGACCTTCTTCACCTCTCTCTCTTTATTCTGCTCTCCCCACCTATTCCACCTTCCTCAGGATCCACTGGTTTCCCTCTTTCCTGTTCACTCTCTCTCTTTAACATTTTATTTTTAACAATTTTCTAAATTCTTTTTTATATTTTTACATTTTTGTTTTTGTGAAGCGCCTCGAGATTTTTATCTTGAGAGGCGCTATAGAAATGACATTTTCTTCTTCGCGGGATAAGAATGATCTGTTACATAGACGATTATCTGATTTGCGCTCCCTACTGGAAGCAAGCAACCTGCAACGCGCTGGTGGTGTAGAACCATCTGACCGACCTGGGGTTCAAAATAAACTGGACAAAGAGCAGTTTATTCCCCAGACAGTGCACAGAATTTCTGGGTCTTCAGATAAACTCTCTCTCTAATTGCATCTCGCTGTCAGAAGAGAGGATTGCGTCCTTCACAAAGCTAGGAAAACGTGCCTCGAACAAACTTTGCCTGCGCCTTCACGGCTTCATGGCATCAAGGATTTCTGTGGTGCGACTGGGGCTTCGTATGATGAGAGGTCCAACGGTGGGTGAGGTCGTTACGACTGTGCTCCCGCCGCCATCTCCACCTCAGAGTGAAAATAACTCCTGCGTCAGTTCTCCAGTCTTAGAGAGACCGAACAGTTCTCACAACTGGGGTTCTGCTAGGGGCAGAGGTGTCCAGAGTTACCATGACGACAGACACGTCCCTTAAAGGTTGGGGGGGGGCACCTTGATGGGGAGAGCAGTGGACGGCGATTGGTCACGCAGTTTGAAACTGGTTCACATAAATGTGCTGGAACTCCTAGCAGTGTTTCTAGCTTTAAAGCACTTCCTGCCCTACTTAAAGGACCGAAATGTCTTAGTGAAGACAGACTTCACCACGGTGGTAGATTAGATAATTCGTCAGGCCAGGACACGCTCCTTACAGCTGCATTCACTAGCCAAGGAAATAATTGTGTGGTGCAGCTCCTGACTCCTCTCAGTCCGGGCAACACACGTGGCGGGCAGCTTGATATGGCAGAGATTCGGTCAGGCTACCGTAGATCTCTTCGCCTCATGGCAAGGCACCCACTGCCTACTCTTCTTCTCC